CCCGGGCCCCGGGCTCGGGAGCCCCGAGGGCGCTCTTCCTGCCGCGGGGGAGCTGGGCGGCTGGAGGAGAGCGAGACGCGCCGCTTTCGCCGCAGTCTTCCGTTCCTTTGCAAGTCTGCGCCCTGCGCGTAGGTTACCAGGAGAGACAAAGGCAGAGGTGGATGCGGGCAAGGGCGGTGAGGGCAGCACGTCAGAGGGGGCTGGCAGGAACGCGGGGGGCAGCCGGAAAGGCAGCCTGGGGCTGGAGGGGCTCCTCCCCTCCTCGGGTCGGGAGACGCCAGCCGCGCGTCTGGGCCGGCGAACCTGCCGAAAGGCGGAGTGCAGGCTGGCGGCAGGGAGCCGGGTGGTTAGGGAGCGGCAGGCCCGAGCTCACACAGCGGAAGCGAGAGGCGGTAGACAGAAGCGGTTCAAGTCTTCGCGGAGGCGGCCTTCAGTGAACGCACTTGCTGTGTTCCTCGTTTGGTTTTCATTACCTAGCGACCCCCAGATAAATGGTATTTGCGGAGCTCGGCTGTCTTAACTTCCCCAAAAGAACGGAAAATAACTTGCCCCAAACTCTAGGTCTCCTGGAAACATTCTCTTAGCTTTTCATGATATTGCTTAGACTGGAGAATGACACGTACAGAATTCACAACTGCCTCTCCACTCGACCCAACAGAAAAAAGGGGGAGCGGTCACTGACGCATCAGAAGCGCGTTTGGGGATCTCACGGACTCACAGTCCAGGTTATGCAGCTCAGGCTGCTCTAACTTCATCCCAGCCACAGACAGCAGCCCCAGCTCTAGAGCAAATCTTTTACCAGTTATTACAATGATGCTTAGAAATGCATGATCACTGAAGGAAATCCTTTAGCAAGACTTGCAGTGCTTGGATGACCTGCAGTGTTCAGACTCCCGGATAAGCACGTTTCTCTACTGCCCACCTTCCTTATCCTGCCATCTAGCTTAGTGTTTTCCAAGCAAGAGGTACCCAGTTAATGCTTATTAAAATCTTCCAGAACTCATGAAGTAAGAGAGAGCTGCCTATTACAACAGCTACCATCTTCAGAGAAACTAAAGAACGTGGATGACTGGGAAAATGGCACCATTAGCAAAAATGGGCATGGTGAGACTATGACATCGGTTTATAGAACAAGCTACAAGCATGTTGTTTAGACATGAGTAGTGGCGATAGGACCTCTCAGAGGAACACTGCACTTAAGAAGTTACCCGACACTGACTTCACCACAAACCCTGTCATTCCTAAAGAAAGTACCAGGAGAAGCTATTCTATTCTGTGCCCCAATTCCACTTCATGGAACCCTCACGTTTTCCCAAGCCATACTCAACTATTTTGTTATAATCTGATTACATTTTATAATGAGTAGAGACTCAAAAAGTAATTTAAAAATCATTTAATATACAAAGTGAAAAACTGTATAGAATATAAAAGCATTTCACATTTTTAAAGACAACACCTAACTTACTTAAGAGATGGTAGGTACACAGTCGTTTGTCTGAAACCCTGGGCACTCTGTTTCAGAATTCGGAGATTTTCAGATTTTAGAAAGGTACTTCAGTGCATACTACGGAAGCCCTCGGCAGTGTATGGTGGCACACTCCCATCATCAAACACATTGATAATTCTGCAGCAACATAAATGGATTTTCACACCGTGCGGGATAAATGGATTCAATGTCAGTTCAGATCAGATTTGCAAGCAAATGAGTTTTGTCACCAAGCTTAGGAAAACCTTGTTTTCGGATCTGGGAGTGCAATTACAGATGGGGGAGTGCAGACCTTTATAAATCTGCAAGACAACACATGAAAGATTGTTTACAAAGGGCCCATTTGTACAAATGGAAAAACAAGCTTTCACATACATTATAAATTAACAGGCATCTTCTCTTTGATATCAATGTACATCTTAAATACATATACACACAACACACTTAACATGACTCGTGAGTCAGCTGGTGTTGGAGGCACAGACGCACAGCTCCTTCCAGAAGAAGGGCTACTGTGACAGTGGGGGTCAAGTTAAAATGATGACGCCAACTCCTTGTGTTGCCAGGGAGAGCCCTTGCTGAGGGCAACACAAGGAGGTAGGGTTTGTTCTTCGAGAAGTACAGTTTTACTTGTGAGCAGTCTCTTCCGCAGACACAGGTAGAAAACTTTCACTTTAAAATGCAAGTTAGCTGGGTTTTCTTCTCTGCACACAAAACTAAATTGGGCCTTATGCTTGAAAATCACAACTTCAGAAGGTATTTTCTGTCCATTGAGCAGTTTTACCAAGTTTGAAAACATAAGTCACAATGGCGAGGCTCCCAAATAGCTGTAGTATGAAAACAAACATTTGAACAAGCCCCTTGACTTTTTATAAAATTCTGTTCAGAAGCTAAAATTATCCCAAATAAAAATACGCTTGTGAAGTCATGTTTTTCTGATTGCAGAAGAAATGGTTTCTGATCACAGCCGTTTCTTCCCTTGACTGGCGCCTGAAGAATCATGGGGGAATAACAAACTTCCAACATGTGCAGCAGCAACAACGTCCATAGGTGTGGGGACAGTGACCAAGTGGCAAGTCATTCCGTTAACCAGCTCCAGTCGAGATTCTAAAACCAGGTGTGGAAAAGTTACAATTAGATGCTGATTATAAGTGATAAGTACATGGTGTTCATTTCTGCAAGTTTTCTGTAGGTTTGGACATTTTATAATCAGAAGTTGAGAATTTTTCAAAAATATAAAAGTTACAATTCAAGAGTTTAGTTCACCTTATTTCCTGCTAATTAGTTTTCACAAATATTTATATTTATGAAGCAAATAATTATCCTTTTTTAAAAAGTAGAGACAGCGTCTCACTATTATGTTGCCTAGGCTGGTGTGCAGTGGCTATTCACAGGTGCAATCATCACACACTACAGCCTCGAACTCCTGGGCTCATGCAATCCTCGTGCCTCAGTCTTCCCAGTAGCTAAGCCTACAGGTGTGCACCACTGTGCCTGGCTGCTCTTCTTCTTAATGAAGGAGGAAGTACACAGAATTGACATTCAGACTAAACGCAGCCAAAGTTAATTCAGTAAACATTTTATTGTAGATGCTCCAAGTTTTAACAAGTTAATAGTTCATAGTAACCAAATCTTAATATAAGCACTTTTATTATTACAACTACATTAACAATTTCTTTTATGTACAAGAGGTACTACATCTGAATTGAAGTACAAGTGCCATCTTATTGGCGAAAACTGATTGCTAAAGCAACAACGCACAAACCATTCCATTTTACTGGTCCCACTGCAAAGAAAGCTTACCACTCATTTAACTGGACCAAAAATGCTACTGCTGAGGGTTTCGGACGACATCACCCTAGCACACCCCTGAGGAACACAGACAGGGATCTGGGGCGGAGGGCAGCCCCCAAACGCTCTCTCCTCTGAGGTCTTCTCCTCCCCTTGTGCTTCCCAAACGCCAGATCAGGAGAGGGCGCCCAGCACACGCAAGACACACTTGTGTCCACACAGACTTACCCTCAGGCTACTGCTCTGCTCCTCCTCTGCTTCATGGATAATAGAGCTTAAATGGCCAAGACAGTTCAAATTTTCTTCTATCATTTGTGCTGGCGTCTCCCTGTGAGAGGAAAAGACAAGGCCTTTTCAGTTCCGCAAAGGGGTACCTGAACTTCCTCTGCCTTCTGGTCTTCTAGGTCAGGGTGAGCCCTGCCTTCCTGCGATGCAACTCTCATGCAGCTGACGCCTGTGGGCTTCAGCTTCTGCATCCCTCCCCAGAAACAGCATCCTGTTCAGTCCAAGCGGCTGCCTCAGCCTAACTCTAATAGTAAGAAGGCCACCACAGCGCCGATCTGATTTCCTCTGAAATATCAGTGGCATGACATACAACTTGTCTTCCCCCCTGAAACTGCTAACTGGGGGGGAGGGGGGATAGTTTTGTGGCATAGACAGATGGACGACCTCTTTTGGCTTCTAAACGTTTCTCTTTCCTTACAAGTAGTTGAGAACACCCGTATGCTTACTTCATAGATACAAATATAGGGGAGAAGACAGAAAAGTACAATATGTTATGCAGAGATCAAGGAAGATGAAAAACACTGGGAGCTACAGATGACGGCAACGAAAAGGAAAACAAGCAAGCTGAATCCTGAAGACAGCAGAAGAAAACAGTGCGGCGGGGGGAGCTGCTGAGCCAGGAAGCGTCCCTGGAAGTCCGAATCCGAAGGTGGTCCTGCCTCTGGTCTCCACCTTCCTGTCCTCCTCCTCCACAAGGCTACGTTCTCACCCTTTACCAAACCTCACTCCTGCCAGAGTCAGTTCTGGGCCGTGGATGGTAGCCACTGTTGTCTAGAACTAAATTCTGACTCCACTCTTATCCACCAGAAGAAGAACTGAGGCCAGCAGCTCCCAGGCGTTGGCAGTTAAGTACCATGGGTACATTACAACTGAGACTTGTTTTCCTTTGTAAGGTATTCATTCTAGAAAATATATTTAAAATACCTGCCAGATATACCACAACCCCAAAGTGGACATTACCTGTAGAGAGATGACATTTGCAACCATTCGTATGCCCTAAACACTCAGATGCCTTTAATAAATGCAGAAAGGTAAGTGATGTGTAAAGTTCTCCCTCCTTCAAGCCTAATGAAGGGAGTGTCTCCGGAAGTCTGCACTTAATCAGCGCCTGTGCCACGGCTGGAGAGATACTGCCCTGGGCCACATCTACCAGGATCCCACGATAGCATGGAACTTGCTTTCTTTAAAAGACAAAATACCTGATACGAGCTTGCCTTCCTGCCATGTGCTTTTCCCTCCCAAGAGGAGAGGACAGAACGTGCAGCTGCACGCCCTCCTGAGCAGCGACACGACATGGCTGCACTTCTGTAAAACTAATTATGGGCAGAGCTTCCAGGAAATGCTGGCGCTGGAGAGGTCTCCGTGAGGTGGGAGAAAAGCAACAACACACAAGCTAGCAAAGAGCCACTGGCTCTGGCTGCGGCACATCTTATGCTGAGGAAATAACAGAAATGGACAGTCATTCAGCTTTTAGCAGAAGAGCAGGAGTTAATAAAAGAAAATACAGGGCTTAAGACTTGAGTTCTTACTTGTAAAACTGATTTAAGGCAATGAATAAACACGATTTTAGAAATGCTAAGTTATAGAATAGAATAGACCACAACAATTTATTAGCAGGGTAATCAAGGACCCCAAAATGATCGATGCAAAAAGACAGCATAATCTCTCAGAAGGAAAACCATTAAGAAAGGAATATGGATTGAGTAAAAAAAAAAAAGCGATGGCCGGGCATGGTGACTCACGCCTATAGTCCCAGCACTTTAAGAGGCTGAGGTGAGAGGACTTCCTGAGCCCACAGGTTCAAGACCAGTCCGGGCAACTTGGCGAGACCTCATCTCTACAATAAATTAAAATTAGCTGGGTGTGATGGCACCAGCCTGCAGTTCCAGCTACTTGGAAGGCTAAGGCGCAAGGATCGTCTGAGCCCAGCAGGTTGAGGATACAGTGGCTGTGAGTGTGCCACTGCACTCCAGTTTGGGCGAGAGTGAGACTTCAACTCAAAAAAAAGAAAAAAATGATAAGCCAATTACCAGAGAAAGGACTCAGAATTTGGATTAAGCCAATAATAATAAGCAACATCTGTTGAACATTTACTTCCCAAGCACTTTGCATACATTGTCTAATCAAATTTTCATACATTCCCAATTTAATGTCTCAGGTGAGGAAATATGAACATTAAAAAAAGTCAAGTTGCCCAAGATTTTTAACAGTCAAGACTCAACCTTGGTCTGAAGGCACCAAAGAGACTACCCTAAACACTACTGTCTCCTTCCTGCCGCTGCTCTGAAAACACAACTGTCTGTTGTTACAAAGTGAACCCACCCATCTTGAGTTACCACACATGACAGAGAATGTTCACGTTCTGCTGAAGGCGGGGGCAGCCATGCTGATGCCTGAGGAGTTGCCACACCTTCGAGACTGGATCCTACAAGGGAACGGGCAGAACTCTGTGTCTGAAGGAAAAGGAAAAAAAAAAGAGTGCAGGCCAGCACCTCTGTTAACGCTTACCATATTCCTAAGACACTGCCAGAATGATTGACATGCACAACTGGAGTACGTCTGTGCAACTCTTCCCACTTTTACACCCCAGCAGTGCCTGTTCCGCCCTTGGCCCCTTTCCTCACTGACTACGGTGGATGTACGCACCCTTCTACGTCCACTTTGGTTGGAGAAAGAAGGAGAAGAAGAAAACAAAACAAAATGCCATTAAACAAGGGGTCGGTTTCATTAATCAGTCAGGCACATCTACTCCCGAGAGCTGGGCTGGGCCCTTGGCCAGGCGCAGTGGCTCACGCCTATAATCCCAGCACTTTGGGAAGTGGAGGTGAGAGAACTGCCTGAGCCTACGGGTTCGAGCCAGCCTGGGCAAATTGGCAAGATCTCATCTCTACAATAAATCAAAAAATCAGCCAGGCATGGTGGTGCATGCCTGTAGTTACAGCTCCTTGGAAGGCTGAAGTGAAGGGATCGCCTAAGCCCAGCAGGTCGAGGCTGCAGGGCCGTGAGTATGCCACTGCACTCCAGCCTGGGCGACAGAGTAAGACTCTGACTCAAAAAACAAAACAAAACAATAAAACACAGTGGCCCAGAGCTAAGAGGAGTATAAAATCAGGATCCGGGAAAGAGAGGCGATCATGAAGTCTTGTATCTCAGTTGCTAGTCTGACCCCAAGCAAGGAACATGAACATCAGCCCAACACAAAATGCACATCTTCAAGAGGGCCCTGCTCATGGTAATAAAAATTCCTTTCACAGGGAACAGCAAATGTCACATTTCACAATTCATTAGTAAATTACTTACACAGGCAATTTTAAGGAGATGCCATATTTCTTTCTGCCTCTTTCCCTGCATAAACATGACAGTGCTGTCAGCTTCTTTGATGTCACTGAGGGCCACTTCCACCTTGGGGAGCAGGTCGATAATCTTCTGCTTACAGCCCAGCAGCTTGCTGGAGAGGAAACCGGTGTCAGACACTCACACACCCTCGAGGCTGTGCACCACTCTCTGACCCAAATATGAAAGGGGGCCACAATGAGCATAGGAGTTAGTGGCCGACCTACATACACACAGGACACATGAGTGCACACGACTGTGACCCAGTCACCCCAGGTGCTGCCAGAACTCTTCCTGGGTCCAGGGTATTTACCAACGAGGGTTATTACACCTTGAAAGGAACATGATAAGAGCACCCTGGTTCTCTGTAAGAAATGAAGCTGCTTCTACCTCAGATGGCCAAACAGCTCCTTAAGAACCCGGTCCTGACTCTGCACGGTGTGCACGATAATCTTCACCATCTCTGTGCTGTCGCTGTAGGAGTGATCTGTAAGAGATGTCAGGCAATGGCGCCACCTCTGCCACTGACCACACCAGCCTCCAAACAAAATGTCCTCCATACCCAAAACCGATTTTAATTAATGAACATTTCCATTTAAATTAAAATTGGGTAAAATTTAAAGACTGCCTATATTTTAACCATATATCAAAAGATAAAGTCTGTGTTTGTGTGTATACAATACATATAATAAGTTGATCACTAAGAGATCTGAATTGCCCGAGTTTGAGAAGAACAGTCTCAGCTATCTAACCCATGACCCCATGCCCTAGACACAAATACAGCCTTCGGCCAAGAGGCCAATTCTCCCTAGATGATCAGCCACATACTGAGAAACAGCAGGACAATTCAACAGACTGTCACTGCGTGGAGAAGGAGGCGCCTGCCACACTAGGCTGCTTGAATTTCATGCTTACCCATCTGTTTACAGCCCATAATAACTCTGCGAAAAGCCAACTGACTTAACCCGAGTCTGATACACTGATGAAGGGACCTGTGGACATCCTGAAAATTCCGTTTGAGGGTACCATGACATCTTTTTTTTTCTAAGTCGGAGTCTCACTCTGTCGCCCAGGCTGGAGTGCACTAGCATGCTCACGGTCACTGCAGCCTTGACCTGCTGGGTTCAGGCGATCCTTCCGCCTCAGCCTTCCAAGTAGCTGTAACTACAGGCATGTGCCACCATGCCTAAATAATTTTTTGACCTACTGTAGAGATGATGTCTCGGCAAGTTGCCCAGGCGCTCTTGAACCCGTGGGTTCAGGAAATCCTCTCACCTCTGCCCCCCACAAAGTCCTGGGATTACAGGCTTGAGCCACCATGCCCGGCTTTAACATGATATCTTAAAGCCAACTGGCAGCAACAGATCTCAAATGGGATGGTTGCTGGTCACAGTGAGTTCTACAGTTTACCTCAATTAAAAAGGAGAACTATCATTAATTGCCATATTTCAGAAAATGGCTGTGTAAGCTTTGAAAAGTTGAAAGTAGCTCACCCATCATGCTGGTATTTTCCATGGACAACCATGAAGCCTGATGCCATTACAGTACTGGTATTTGCTATGACCTTCTTGTGATGTTCTCATTACCCCCACACAGTCCTGTTACATGGCTGTGTTTGCTACTCCTTTTCACCACGATGGAAACGACGAAAGGAGTGCCAGGGGAGCTTGGGACTTGTCCACAGCCCAGCTTCCTTCCCCACACACCTTCTGCTGTTGCCCTCACCCACAGCCAGACACGAGGTGGCACAAAGGCTCCAAGCAGCTTCCTTCCTACAGGCCCCCGACCAAGCCCCAGTGCTTTCCGTGGAACCAGCTTTCAGGCAGCCCAGACCTCAGAGCCTTAACCTTCCCCAACAGAGAGGAGGAGGAGGAAAGGTGATTTTCACCACTTTCGGGTGAACACGAATCTCAAGTCAACTCTGAGTTAGAAAAGACAACAGAGGCCATAAGTCACGCGTGATTATATAACAAGCCCCAATGGCAGATGAAACATGTTCCAACGAGTTGGGTCAGTCAAGGTGACTAGCAGTTCAGAGAGGCTATGTGGAGAGCCAACTCATTCCTAGGTTCCACGATGTGCTGATATGCTGACAGGGCTGCTGCAGAGTTTTTCTAGAAGTGACCTGACAAACGCTATCACTGACTGTAGAAAGTTAACTGCCCGAGTCAATGGATGCAATTTTGTACATTTTCATCTGCAATACCTGGTTCACTGGCCAAAAGACTGGGAGTCGTGAATATCAATTAAAGAAAAAAAAGAAGAACTGGACTTGCTCCATTTGAAATCTTAACTTTTAATATTTTACTTTAGCTACAACGTCTAGCACTTGAAGTCGCTATTTTGTTCATATCGTCACCTTTTTGTTCTCTTACTTCATCAGGATCAAGCCACCCATCTGTTCTATCAGTTCCTATGTCCAAGCTACTAGACTATCGACAAAAGAATTAACATTACCATTCACTGTGCTGTTGCTACTAGTCCACAGACTTTCTCTTCTGCTCTGGACTCTTTGTGCATGTTATGGGTCAGCAACATCTTCCACTGCACACACCAGCTTCCGAAAGTCTGCAGCGCACTACTGCAGCCTGTGCGGTCATCAGCTCCTCCACCGCAGTTCACCTCACTTCCTTTTCAGGACGGGAGGCCACAAGGCAGCAGGACCCTGACCTTCCACCTCTACTCCCATCAAAGTATCCGTGTCCCCAGCCATTCTCGCTCCACTACCAGGAACCTCGAGGCTGATCCCTTCCACTGCACCCTGGAACTAGCCTCTCAGAGTGTTCTGGGATGTCCTTCTCCATAGGCTCTGAGCCCAGGCAGGTATACGCAGTCGTGTGAGGGCCGTGTTCTGAGCAATGCAGCACCACACAATTCTGTCACTGCACGAACACCACCGAGTGTCCTAACCCAAACCCACGTTGTATAGTGGAGTCCACTGCTCCAAGGCTACAAACCTGCACAGCACATGGTCGTACTGAATGCTGTAGGCAACTGTACTGCAAGGCTGTGTGTGTATTGAAACACAGGAAACATACAGTAAACGTAGAGTACTGTGATCTCATGGGACTGCCATACATGCAGTTTGCTGTTGACCGAAATGCCATCATGTGGCACATGACCACACGATCAAGTCTTCCTTAGGAAAAGGGACCTTTTCTGACGCCACATCTTTCAGCTACTTGCCCACCTCTCTTTTTCCTTAGCAGACGAGCTTCTGAAAAGAATAGTCTAGATAGGCGGTTCTCAAACATTTTGGTCAAAGGAACTCTTTACACTCAAAAATTCTTGAAAGCCCCAGGGAGGCTGAGGCAGAAGGACGACCTGAGCCTAGGAGTTCAAGGCCAGCCAGGGCAACATAGCAAGACCTCATCTCTATAAATAAATAAACTAGATGGGTGTGGTGGTGCATGCTGGTAGTCCCAACTATTCGGGAGGCTGAGACAGAAGGATCACCTGAGTCCAGAAAATCGAGGCTGCAGTGAGCCAGGATCATGCCACTGCACTCCAGCTTGGGCAACAGAGTGAGACCCCAACACACACACACACACACACACACACACAGTAAACAATTTCTGAAGTGGTTTTCCTTAAGACAACTACCATACTCCACAATATAGTAGAAGCACTTTATGAGTACTTCCAATTTCATCACACAGAATATTAAAACGATATACTCAAGGGTTGAGATTTAAATAAAATCACAGTTCTACTGCTTTATCAAGGACATTCTTAAATGAAATTGGCATTTAAAAAAAAACCATGAATGCATGGTGGTGAAAAGTATGGCTGCTAGCATAGTTTGGTGCGAATGCTTTGATTCCTACTAAGGTGCAGGCCACTGTACCTGCCAATGCTTTTACACCACTGATGAAGATGTCAACATGGTGAAAATAGCAAGTAACATCTTAGTACTGTGCAAATGGCTTTCACCTCATAGACTCAGGGACCCTGACTTTGAGAACTGCTGGCTTAGACTTCACCACTCCTCTTCCTCCTGTCCCATTTCCTCCTCACCCCACTACAATCTGCTTTCTGTTCCCAAAAGGCCACTGTGTTCTTTGAGGTCATCAGTGATGTCCACACTGCTAAGCCCAATGAATACTTTCACTGCTTGTCACTTTCATCACCATCCACACCTCTGCACGATCTCACCCACCGATCACCTTCTCCTTGGAACTCTTGCTCCGTGCCGCCCATCCCCTACCCTCTATACGTCCTGGCCATTTCTCAATCTTCTTTGCAGGCCCTCTGTGTCTACTGCTTGCGAAATGCTGTATTACCTGGGATTCCAACCTTGTCTTTCCCACTCAGCCTGCGCTTTTCGGGATGACCTCTTCACTCAATCGCTGAGCACTCTCAAAATGACTAAGTATGAGCCCAGACCTCTCTAAAGCTACACACATATGTATGTAGGCATATACATGTGCATATGTGTTTACATATACATGGATATATACACACTACATATACACACATGTGCAAAACCATCGATTAGACATGTCTACTTGAATGTCCCACTGACGCCTTACCATCAATGTGTACAAAAATTAACTCTTTTCCCTCATCAAGACCCTCCTTCTTCCTACAGCGCCTACAGCGATGAACAGTCGTGCCATGTGTCCAGCTAACCTAGCCAGAAACAGGAGGCATCTGTGCCGCCTCACCCAACCCCCAGCCACCCTTCAGGCTATCATCCAACACTACCAGTTCTGTCTCCCAAATCTCTCTCCTGCCCTACCCTCCTCTCACGTCGCTGCCACAGCTCAGGCTGTCTGCTTTAGTTCCTAGCCCATCTTGTACTGCACTGAGATTTTCCCAACAGCCTCATCACTGATGCGCACCTCTAGTCTCGCCACACTGTAACCCATTTTCCACACCACAGTAGTGTTTCTAACATGCTAGTTTGATCATGCCATTCCCCCAATTAAAACTTTTTAGAGTTTCTCTTTTTTATCATGATGAAACCCAAACTCTTGACCATGGTGTACCAGAACCTTTATGATCTAGCCACAATCTCTCTCCTCCTGAAACTAGACTCCAGTCACACTGCACTTGTTCAAAGATGCCAAGAGCTACACACACGTTATTACACAGTGTACACACACACACACACACACACACACACACACACACACGCCACCTGCTTTCACCTGGCTCCTTCTGCTTCTCCTTTAAGGCTATCTCAGATGTCATCTCCACCAGCTGTGACCCCCCCAAGTCAGGGTCATATCTTATATGTACTTCACAAATGTTGGTAGAATTAAACTGAACAAATTCCAGTATAAAAAAAAAAGTATAAGAGGAGATCATGTTTTTTTTTTAATATGTGAAAATTTCACACGTATATTAATTTGCATGTGTTTGCTAACCTTAAAGTGTAAAACATGTATATACCTTTCTTCTTTTTACAATTTAAATATAGAGCATATTAGGACACAGCCTTAAGATGTGATTTCTTCTCTAATCCTTCAAAACAGATTCTTTTTTTTTTTTTTTGAGTTGGAGTCTCACTGTCGCCCAGACTGGAGTGCAGCGGCCGCTCTCGGCTGCTGCAGCCTCGACCTGCTGGGCTCCAGCAATCCTTCCGCCTCAGCCTTCCAAGTAGCTGGAACTACAGGCACGCGCTACCACGCCCGGCTAATTTTTTTGATTTATTGTAGAGGTGAGGTCTCACCAAGTTGCCCAGGCGGGTCCTGAACCCGCGGGCTCAGGCAATTCACTCACCTCAGCCTCCCAAGGCACGGGATTACAGGCTGAGCCACCGAGCCCGGCTCAAAAGAGATTCTTAACTAAATCTGTTAAAAGCACATAATAGTTTCATCATATTCAAAGCATTTTCACAAGCATCCTCTTAAATACATTGCCACAATCATACTCACTGGTAGGAAAGCTAGGTGTCAACTGCACTTTGCGGAAGAGGGAAATGAGAAACAGGAAGATTGCCTGAGGTTACCTGGTGAGTAAAGACCTCAGTTCGAGAATTCAAGCCTTCTTATTTCCAATCCAGTGCTCTTCAAGTAGACCATGCTGTACTCACCAGATGTTCAACAGGAAATGCTTCACCACGAAACAAGCAATCAGTAGCCAGGGCAGATGAAGAGACATCGTTCTCCGGGTGACCTGCATGGGCCTTCCCTCTAACTATGGACTCGAACGCACTGCACCAAATTCTGTCCAGCTTCTCTAATCTTATGCCACGCTGATTGTTTTCCATTTTCCCATACATTTTCATGCTTCCTCTTCTTTGAGTTCACTTTCCTTGTTACTTTCCCTTTCTAATTTCTTAAATTCTGACAAATTTAAGGCTATTGTGCCATAAATGTCTCACTGACAATACCAAAACTGAAATTTATCTTGCAGCTTTAAATTCATTGTAAATTAAAAAAATTTTAAATCCCCCACATTTGTTAAGCTAGTGATGTTCTTCTAAAATGCCTCCAAGTACTGTAACAAATGTGCCTTACCTGAAGATCTGTGTTTTAACTGCTTGTATAGATCAATGGCGCGCTGTTCACTGCAAAAGAGAAAACATGCTATTTGTGAAGAGAATTTAATGATTCCAACAACTCGCAACTTGAAATGAACAATATTATTTGAATAATGATCCTGTTTTAAAGCAAGTACATATTGTCAATGAGTGCATTTTATTCCGTAATAAGCAAGAACTATTCAAGTTCTTAAAATGCCAAGTTTAATATACTTCATATCTGCTGATCTACCACAAGCACATCCCTGCACCAGAGACACTTAAACAGGCAAAAGTTATGTTCTGTGACCAGGAAAAAAAATCTAAAGTTTTAAATCTAGACACTCAGGAAGTTAACCTCATTTAGGGCATTTAAGAGGCAATCAATACTTTGGACGGGAGGTATAGTAAGTAAGGAAATCGTTTGTAATTTAGATGTACTTGGAAAATTTTTAACACTCACATGAAAAAGACTTTTTATTAAAAACCAAAAAAGGTCAAGTGAAAGAATTATTTCCAAAGTTTCCCATGACTAAGAAAAAGCTTCCATTTTAAATTCAATACCAATATATTTGGGAATAGGAAAACTATAGAAAAGAACCACAGAGAGGTTTAATCTCCTAGATATAAGCAAAAGAATAATTTGCTATAAAGAATTTTTCTTTTTTTTTTTTGTACAGATAGGAGTCTCCTTATGCTGCCCAGGCTGGTCTCCAACTTCTGGACTCAAGCAATCCTCTTGCCTGGCCTCTCAAAGTGCCGGGACTACAGGTGTAAGCCACCATGTCCGGCACACAAACAGTTACAGTTGTCAAGCCCAACAGCGCAAGTACTTCCTTACAGAGATTCCATCGAGTCCCCCTGCCGCCTCCCATAGGGGCTCTTCTGGAGTTCCATAATTTCGGCATGCAGAGACATAATCTGATCCTCCAGGTATCCAATGACACCAACCTAAAATATGACGAAAACACAGAGGAAATAGGTTTGCCAGCACACCACAGGAAACAAAACTCAGATTGCAAGGGCAGGGAGTGACTTGTTGCCGTGGCAGGAAAACTAACTAACGTGCAACACTGATTCTGTTAAAGGCTTTTTACTCTTTAGATCTGATACTCTTTCACATAAGAACACACTTATTCTCATGCTTCTCTCATTTCCCTCTTGACAATGGCACATTACTAGCATTCGCCTTTTCCCTGGGAAAACAAAAAGGTACATCGGGTGTCACTAACGACAGGAAAAAGCGGCCACAAAAACTGTTGGCATTACTTGCATCTCAGTTCTCTGGCTCTAGTTGCCTCTTGTTCCCAACTGCCTTGAGTAAGGACACAGAAAGATGAAGACGCTGGATTTCTCACCCCAAATATCAACACCCATCCACATCCTCAGGGTAAGTACCTGCATTAAGGAGAGCCACAATCGAGAACCATGGACAAAAGTGCAGGGTAAGGAAAAATGTCTGCTCTATACCTAGGGAGACCATGTAATTTATTGTCCAAACCAGCATCCATCTGACAGTGAAAGGGAGTACTATGAAGAATCATGTCAAGACATCAGTTATAAACTGAGAATGACCCAGGTAAACCAGGATGTGCAGCCATCCTATCTTAACCGGTGATAAAAATAATAGTGATATCCACCATTACTGAATCCCAATTATTCTTCATTACACTACTAAAAGAGTGCTGTCCCCACGGCATAGTATGGAAACTGAAGCTCTGTGAGGCTGTGTACCTTGCCCGAAGCCCTTGTTTTTATCACTATGGTACCTCCCTCTACATATGCAAAATTTCTACTAGAATTTTGCCCAAACACTGGAATGACACGAAAAATGCCTTCTATATACCAAAACCAAAGACATGTTCCGAGGGAGACGTCGAATTAATAAGCACACAAAATGAGGGCAGTGATTTTACCTCAGCATAGCGGATGGCCTTTTCTTCCATTTCTTTCCAGGCTTTCAGCATTTTTTCTGAAGCTAAAAGAAAAGCCTCAGTCGGTTACCGCGGCTTTAACAACCAGCCTGCCTGACTCCTTGTCACATCAACATCAAAGATGTGTTAAGGGCTGAACTGTGTCCCCACAAGAGATATGTTGATGTCCCAAACCCCAGCACCTCAGCATGGGAGCGTATTTGGAAATGGGGCTGTCATGGGTGTGATTAGCTGAATTAATAATCACACTGGAGTAGGATGGACCCCAAATCCAATATGACTAGTGTCCTCGGAAGAGACAGAGGGTATAGTCACACGAGGGGAGGGCACCATGTGACAATGGAGGCCGAGACTGAAGTGCTGCAGCTGTGAGCCAAGGAATACCACGGAGGACTGGCAAGGCACAAGATGCCAGGGAGAAGCAAGGAAGGGTTGTCCCTGCAGAGAGCACAGCCCTGCCAACACTTTGATTTTGGACTTTAGCCTCCAGAACGGTGAGACAATACATTTCTATTGTCTTAAACCACCCAGCTTATAGCATTTCGCTATGGAAGCCCTAGGAAGTGAACACAGATGATTTTCTCATTAAGAAAATGTTTCAAAGTAATATATACATTTGATTTTTTAAAAAATTGAACACTGCAAAAAGAAGACTTTTTCTTCCTCCCCTCTACCTTAAGGGATCTTACTATGATTACTGGTAACATAGACATATACCCTATTACTCACAAGTGAGACCATTCATATACTTTTTAAAAACTTTTTCCCTTGGCTGGGCACAGTGGCTCAGCCTATAATCCCAGCACTCTGGGAGCCGAGGCAAGAGGATGGCCAGAGCCTGGGGGTTCGAGATCAGCCTGGGTAACTTGGTGAGACCTTGTCTCTACAATAAATCACAAAAATTAGCCAGGTGTGGTGGCGTGCACCTGTAGTTCCAGTTACTTGGAAAGCGGAGGCAGAAGGATCACCTAAGCCCAGCAGGTCAAGGTTGTGGTGGCCGTGAGTGTGCCACTGCATTTCAGCCTGGGTGACAGAGTGAGACTCCAACTAAAAAAAACAAAAAACTTTTCCCCACAACTTAAAAGATTGCTGTCAATTAAAGATCCAAGTGATCTTTTAATATCAGCACATCTGGATTTACCTTGTTGTTTTTTTTTTTTTAACAGCTGTACAATATGATTTGACAGGTCAAAGAATTTTAATAAAATAACTATAATGTGGCAACCCCTGAAGGGGTCCCCTCTCACTGTGGGAGTTTTTTTGTTTCTCAATAAATCCTACTTTCACACACACACACACACACACACACAAACATTATAATGTTTTGTCATTCACCAGAGTGCCTATAATACACAAACAGAAATAAAACATCAATAATAGAACCAGTTCGAGAGAGTAAATTTATTCATGCAATTGGACACTGTCGATCATTTAATCTGAGATACACAGACTTTGCTCAGAGCACGTGTACAACAGCATTTATTTCCTAAAAACTAGTGAACCCTTTAATTCATTTGAATTTTAACTCTGCTTTCTTATATTTCCTTAGTGCATCTGTAGAAGATAAGCTTGGAGTCAACTATTGAAAATCTGGAGACTATGTACAGTGAAAAACAGGAGGACTCCACAGTAGATGGTTTGGAAAAAAAACATAACCTTGGAGTCAGTTGCTTTATTACTTACAGAGAGATAAGTAGTTTAAGACTCCCCTGGTTGTCTTAGTCCACTTGGGCTGCTATAACAAAATGCCACAGACTGGGTGGCATATGAACAACAGAAATGTATTTCTTACAGTTCTGGAGAAGTTCAAGATTAAGGCTGACTCAGTGGCAAGTCAGGGCCTGTTTTACGCTTTACAGATGACCATCTTCTTGCTGTGTCCTCACATGTCATTCAGGCTTCTTTTATAAGGGCACTAACCCCAAGCATGAGGGCTCCACGCTCAGGATCTAATCATCTCCCAAGAGCCCCCTCTCCTAGTACCTTCTCCTTGGGAGTCAGAATTTCAACATAAGAATTTTTGAGGGACACAAACTCAGTACATAGCACTAGCTAAGAAGTACAGATATTGCATCTATTTTTAAAATGAGGTTTGAAATCCACAGATTCTTAAATCACTTCTTTTTTTTGGAATTAAATGATTTTAGTCCAGTTGTGAAGCTAAGTTGCTTAACTAAAGGATTAAGAAAGAACTAACACTCAAGACGATCATGATCACTTAAGTTGTTCCTGTTCCTTGTTCTAAAGTTAAGTGAAACTGGCAATGAGTTAAGAAGGCAAAACAGCAGATGGCTTTAAGAAACCAGACACTCCTTTCAAATACAGCACCAAGATACTTACATATCCCATAGGTCATCTGCTCACTGTATCTCTCTAAGTCAAGCTGAATGCTCTTGTGGAAAAACTCCAATTTAGCTTTCAGTTGCTGCGATGCTGAGATCAAAGTGTTCTTCATTTTTGTCAAGTTAGCATTGTATCTAAGGAGACTTAACCTAAACCACAGCAAAAAGCAAAAAAAGAAAAAAAAATTATCAGCATTCAAAAACAATGGACAATAATTTTAAAACATAAATTGCCATCAACAAAAAGCCTACATTTCTATTATCGATCTATGAGAACTAGCTGGTCTCTGAGGACTTCCTGCCTGGGATATTCTATGATAAACAATATTTTTACTCTGGGACCCTTCAGGAAATACTGCTCTGAAGCCATTACAATGAGATGGTTTCAGATCATTATTAAGAATTCTACAAGTCTAATCAGAAGATCACATTTCAACTAGGTCCAATATGTTGGTATTGTATGAAATACTGATTCGTGAGAACTGGCAAGAGTTGGTCTTGCGTACACGCCGCACATGACATCGTGCTGCTAACCAACCACACACTCACTCACATTGCTGCTCTCTGTCCCTGGAAGAGCCTGCTGTAGTCTTCTTTGAGCCCAGACACGTAGTGCACGGCTTCAGCCCACACCTTCCGCAGCTGTATAATCGGGAGCTGTATCTTGCTGTCCTGCACTGTATGCAAGAAGACAAGAAAGGGGAGAACTGCTTTTGAGGACTTTTAGGGTACACTGATTATACTCTGTCACAGATGCTAGAAAGGTACACTTGTCAGCATGTAATTCAGTAATTCAGTTCAACAGACATTTACTGAGTGAGCGCCTGCAACACATACGCCCTGCTCCAACAACGGGAAACAGAGACGAAGGACCATCACTACTCTCCAAAGCTTGACATGAATCCTGTATCTGTATTTTTTGCTTGCTCTCTAACCTGGAATACTCTTTTTCTCTCTGCTAATTCAAATTGTTTATTTCTTTCAAGTTCTAAATGAAGTCCCTTCTCCTCTGAACACCAACCCAGCTTCAAGAAAACACACAGGGTAAATGCCAGCTTAATAAATCATGCTTTCTTCAATGCCAGGCTTTAAAAAAAATAATCTATTTGTGATGATCATTTGCCTGTTCTCTTGGTCAAGGGACTGCTACTTTTCTAAAACCATGGCAGCTATGTCTTAAATTCACTGAAATTTCATTTTAACATATGTAATTATCCTGCATTGGAAGAGATTTATTCTAAACTCTAAGGTGGTAAGAATATTCATCATTTTTGCCAATTAAAACTTCAGAAAAAGGTTAGGCAAAACTTACTACACTAATGTTCATACTGAGAAAACATATTATTGAAGCAGACTTTTTTTTCTTTTCTTTCTTTTTGAAGCAGACTTCTAAAAAAATAAAGCTGGCTGGGTATGGTGGCTCATACCTATAATCCCAACACTTTGGGAGGCTGAAGTGAGAGGACTGCTTGAGACCAGCCTGGATAATATGGCATGACCATGTCACTATGAATTTGAAAAAAAAAAAAAATCTGCAGGTAATCCTAGGATCACACCTGTAATCCTAACACTGTGAGAGGCTGAGGTGGAAGAATCACCAGAGTCCAGGAGGCCAAGATTGCACTGAGCCACGGTCGTGTCGTTGCACTCTAGCTTGGGTGACAGTGAGACCCTGACTCAAAAAAATTAAAAAATAAAGCTATATATCTGGAAAAATCTTTGCTTCCCTCAGTAATTATTAATAGCCTCAATTAAACTTTCTTCTATTTTTATATACTCACACTTCATCCTGTGGCTTCCTATAATAGGCCAAAAGAAAAAAATCAAACTTAAAAAAAAAGTCAGAGAGAGAGGTGCTTCACTGTGCCCGTGCCATCATACACTTAAAAAAAATAAAACCTGGTCAAGCACTGTGACTTGCATCTGTAATCCCAGCTACTCAGGAGGCTGAGGCAGGAGGATGCCTTGAGCCCAGGAGTTCAAGGCCACCATGAGCTGTGATTGCACCACTGCCCTCCAGCCTGGGTGACAGAGGGAGACCCTGTCTCAAATAAATAAATAAAGTCTGAACAGGCCTAAAAGAAATGACAGCCCATAGCAGCAAGCACCCATTCTCCAATAAAAGAAACCGAGGTTCCTTGGAGAAATGGCTGACTCTAGGACGGGGCAGGAAATACACGGATGGACCTGGAGCGGCTCACAGCTCCAGAATGTAAGGACGTGCTAAAAAAAACAAAACAAAAACAACCCACTGAGAGGGGAATGCCAAAGAGGCACGAGAACCACCTGGAAGAGTTTCAGGTGACCAAAGATCAACAACGGGAGCGATGAGACGCAGTAGTGTTAGATTACAACACAAAGTCCAAAGTAGGCACTCAGGAATCCATACTGATATAAATAAATGACTGAATAAGAAACGGGAAGGAGAGGAATTCCCAACAAATCACGACGGGCATACTCTCTTCCAAAGGAGGGGAATGTAACTCCCCACTAAGCATGGGATATGCACGTATGCATGGCAACGTCCTTGCAAAGAGGGCAGCAGGGGAAGGGGGAAAAAGTTAAACTTTATAGTGAAGAAATCTGACAAACACTACTTCAGGCAGTGGCCGAGGTCAATATCAACAAGCATAAGTAGTGATATATCCTTTATATAAGATGAAAATGTCACTTTACTTCTGTGACCTTTCTCTCAAAAACCCATAATCTCGGTCTAATCATGAAAAAAACAAAAAGACAAATTCCTACAGAGGGGCGTCTTATAAAACACTTGACCAGCACTCTTCAAATGCAATGAACAAAACTGTTAAGGTCATCAAGAACAACACAAGTCTGAGAAACTGTCACAGCCAGGGGAGCTAAGGAGATACGACAACTACATGTAATGTGGTATTCTAGGTGGGATGTTAGAACCGAGAAAAGACATCAGCTAAAAACTAAGGAAATCTGAACGAAGTATGGATTTTAATTAGTAATGAAATATAGATTCACTAATTGGAACTAAGGTACCATATCAATGTAAGATTTTGTTTTTCTTTTTAAGTCAGGATCTGACTCTGTTGTCCAGGCTGGAGTGTAGTGACACGATCAACAGCCCACTGCAGCCCGGACCTCTTGGGACTACAGGCAAGCCACCACGCTCAGCTAATATTTTTTTTTTTTGAGTTGGAGTCTCACTCTGCCACCCAGACTGGAGTGCAGTGGCCGCTCCCGGCCACCGCAGCCTCGACCTGCTGGGCTCCAGCGATCCTTCCACCTCAGGCTTCCAAGGAGCTGGAACCACAGGCACGTGCTACCACGCCCGGCTAATTTTTTTTTATTTGTTGTAGAGATGAGGTCTTGTCAAGTTCCCCAGGCGGGTCTCGAACCCGCGAGCTCAAGCAATCCACTCAACTTACCTCAGCCTCTCAAAGGCGCAGGATTACAGGCTGAGCCACCGAGCCCAGTTCATTTTTTTTTAAGAGATAGCATCTCACTATGTTGTCCAGACTGGAAAGATAACAGCAATACAAGAAACTATATGTGTGAGGGAAGGAGGTTATACGAGAACTCTGTGTTGTCTGTTCAGTTTTTCTAGAAATCTAAAATCATTCTTTAAAAAAATAGTGAAAATAAAATCGCGGGCAAGGGGGGAATGAACTGGAAAGAGACGAGAGAACTTTCTGAGGTGAAGGAAATATTCTGTACCATGGTGTGGTGTGAATCAGACAGGTATATACAGCTGTCGAAAATCATCAGACTATATCATCTGTGCTTTTCACTATGTGTAAACGTGCCTCAATTAAAAAGAAAGAATTAAAAGAAAACAAATAAAAAGGCAAAAGAGAGGCAAGATTACATATATTTTAGCCCCTATGCTCAATTTTGCTCCTGATTCCACAATTTTCTGCTTTATTTTAGTTTGGTATACATGAATTGATCAAACACTTAACTACCTCAAAAGAAAAGAGTAATTTTCACAGGATAAATCAAAACATTTGAACATTAAGCAGTATTATAGGACAAAATGAAATAAATTTTGAACATCCTTAGATAACGAAAGGATAATTAAAAAGTAGGAATAGGCCGGGCGCGATGGCTCACGCCTAAAATCCCAGTACTTTGGGAGGCCGAGCTGAGAGGACTATCTGAGCCCACAGGTTCGAGACCAACCTGGGCAACGTGGTGAGACCTCATCTCTACAACTCAAAAAAATTAATCCAGTGTGGAGGCATACGCCTGGGATTCCAGTTACTTGGAAGGCTGAGGTGGAAAGATCGCCTGACCCCAGAAGGGCAAGGCTGCGGTGGCTAGGAGCATGCCACTGCCCTCCAGCCTGAGTGAGAGTGAGACTTCGACTCAAAGAAACAAACAAAAAAAGTAGGAATAATTAATGGTGAAGTTTCATTTTCCTGTAAGAACTTGATGCTCAGGAAAGTAAATCTCTTACATGAGAAATCTAGAGGTGACTTAAAATCTACCGCTTTTGGCCAGGCATGGTAGCACAGGCTTGTAATCCCAGCACTTTGGGAGGCTGAGGCAGGAGGATGGCTTGAGCCCAGGAATTTGACACCAGCCTGGGCAACATAGGAAGACCTCATCTCTACAAAAAATAAAAAAATTAGCCAGGCATGTGACACATGCCTATAGTCCCAGTCATTTGGGAGACAGACGGGAGGATCACCTGTGCCTAGGAGGTTAAAGCTGAAGTGAGACATGACTGTGCCCTTGCACTCCAGCCTGGATGACACAGTGAGACCTAACCCAGGGGAAAAAAAAAAAAAAAAGGCCAAGCTAGGTGGCTCACACCTATAATCCCAGCACTTTGGGAGGCCGAAGTGAGGGGTTCGAGACCAGCCTGGGCAACTTGGAGACCTCTTCTCTAAAATAAATTTTAAAAAATTAGCTAGACGTGGTGGCACCCACCTGTAGTTCCAGCTACTCGGAAGGCTGAGGCAGAAGGTCAAGGCTGTGGTGGCCATGAGTGTGCCACTGCACCCCAGCGTGGGCGACAGAGTGAGACTCCAACTCAAACATACACACACAAAATAATCAACACTAACTTTTCACCTTCCAAACTACATAAATCCATTTTCAACACATAAAGAAACCTCAAGTATGAGAGATACAGAACTGAAACACTAAAAGCCATTACTACTCATCATGTTAAGAGTCAAAATTATGTTAATTCAGGTTTAAAGCTCAGCCACTAAACGGGCTGTACTTACCAATGTAATTTACACAATCAGATAAACTTCTGGAAGCCAATGGCCCTTCATATACAGTCTTACTTTTATCAAACAAATAAACCATATAGCTATCACAGCCTCTCTGAAAAAGAAACAAGTAATTAAAATTCTACTCCAAGATCCTTGGAAGTCCTAGATTCTCTAAATACTTACACACCAGATATCTTCCTTTCAGATGCAAGGAGCAAAGTCGTGTGCATTAGCATACTTCTTACAGCTATAGAGCTTAAGCTTTTGTTGAGGGAGGAAACCCCAATTTGAGAATAGACTAAAGTGGAAAACAGCCACCAAAACCAAAAGAACAAACATGAAAAGGCACACATCCATGCAGTGAAAATCACTCGGAGTGGACTACTCAGATATGGCCAGGCGTGGTGGCTAATGCCTAGAATCCCAGAACTGTGGGAGGTAGAGGCAAGAGGATTGTCTGAGTCCAGGGTTCGAGACCAGCCTGGGCAACTTGGCAAGACGCTGTCCCTGCAATAAATAAAAAAATTAGCCAGGTGTGGTGGTGCATGCCTGTAGTTCCAGCTACTTGAAAGACACGCCACTGCACTCCAACCCGGGCAACAGAGTGAGACTCCAACTAAAAAAACAAAACAAAACAAAAACAAACAAATAAATCAGAACATCCAACTGGGCGCAGTGGCTCACAGGCTTTGGGAGACAGGGTGAAAGGATTCCTGGGCAACTTGGCATGACCTCATCTCTACAATAACTCAAAAAATTAGCATGGTGGTGCACACCTGTGGTTTCAGCTACTTGGAAGGCTGAAGCAGAAGAATCACCTGAGCCCACCATGCTGCGGTGGCTGTGAGCGTGCCACTGCACTTCAGCCTGGGTGACAGACTCCAACCCAAAAAATAAAGAAAGAAAGAAATATATCTGATACATGCTGCAAACATGGATAAACCTTAAAAATATAATGCTAAGTGAAAGAGGTCAGACACAAGAGACTGCATACTGCATAATTGCATTTATGTGAAATTTCAGAAAAGGCAAATTTATGGAGTCAGAAAATATATTGCTAGCTGCCTGGGTTAGGCAGAATAGAGATTAAATGAACATGAGGGATTTTCCTGAGATGGAACTGCTTTTATACTTATTTATAGTTATAGCAGCACACTTTGGTAAATTTATTAAGGGAGGAAAATCACTAAATTTTACACTTGAAATAGACAAACTACATGATATTTAAAATATGCCTCAATAAAGTCAGAAAAATAAAAATGGGGAAAAAAAGTCAAGACCACAATCATATTTTACCACCCATTTATCCTCTGGCAGGGCCTAGGAGATGGCTGGTCTAATTTCAAGAAGGAATGGAAGGTAAGAAAACTGGCACCAAAGAAAAAGTCCTGCAAAGGCCAAAGCAATTGGTGCTTCACTTCTATCCTGTTCACCTTGCAAAGCAATAAGGTCAGGAGTAGGACAAAACTAAAAGAATTATTACAAGCTGTGCCCCCTAAGGAATCATAAGTATGCATTTAAAAATGCAGGGCACTTTAAATAGATTGTTTTGCAGAAGCAGATCATGTGTGCTCCAGACGTATCAGAATGCTCTTACCACTCCATCCAGGACACACTGAGAGGCTGGTTTCCGAGGATCCAGAGAAATCCCCGTCTCTGAAAGAAGCTCTTGAGAACCAGGACTCATGCCAGTCTCACGCTCAATACGAGACTGGAGGGAATGCAGGCTTTCATCAGGTGGTAACAGGAAAGAAATTATCTTTGCAGAAGTCATATTTAGGATGTGTACTATCTGTATGATAAAGAAAAAAAGAGAAAAACTTAATGGCCTCTTGCTACATGAAAGATTCAGTGCAAGATGCTAAAAGAGGAAAATGAGCAAAAGGCACTGCCTGCCCTCAACCAGGTTCGCGTATTCTCCAAAGTACAAGCTCTTTCTAGAATTATGAAATGACATTCTGAAAACCGCAGCTTACTTTTCTACTACAAGAGATGCTAGAGCCGACAAATGTCAACGCTCTAGGGAAGTACAAAATCAAGAAAATCCCAATTAAAAAAACAACACATTTATTTGAAAAGCCTTATCAGAGACCTAAAAGGAAACACTTCAACCAAGCAGTGCCTAACAGAAGACAACCACAGGGGCTCAGGTGTTCATACAACACCCAATTAGTTAGATCTTTAACTTCCGTTTTAAGAGAGGGAAATACCAGAGACCGACATTAAATGCCGAATGAGGGATCACACAGCTGATAACTGGTTGAGTTTGAAGCTGAACCTCTATCTGTCGTGTTGCCTCAAGAAATAATTATCTGATAGGAGAACAAGGCTTGTCTTTAAACAGGAAATTGCATTGTTATACTCCTACGGCAACCAAGTCCCAGAGCAGGGACCTGCCTGAGGCCCCCAAGTGAGATGCACCCAGTCTCACGAGTCTCACCTAAAGCCCCGGTGAAAGTAGCCAGAAACAGGCCAAGAGAGTGAGGCTGAGGTGGGCAGGGCACTACCCAGGTAATGAAGGACACCCACAGAGTTGGAGGTCAGCCTTTTGAACAGAACATGATTTTTAAATTATCTTCCTGCTGATGTTCTCAGATAAGTCATATAAAATGAATGCCTACATTTCTCCACGCCTTATATTGACCGGTACATAAGAGTAATTAAAATTATCTTTGCTGGAAATCCTTACTACAGAATTAAAGCACTGATCTAAGGCCACTATTATTCCTTTTCTCCCCCCTCTTAAAATACAAATTTTAATTGATGTTTTCAAGCACACACAACTATAGACAACAGTATCGTAACCCTCCTCCCAATCCTGTGAATGCCTCACCTAGTACCAACCATTATTTCCATAGAGCCAATCTTGATTCATGCACAGACCCTCTCAAAAAAAAATTACGTTTTTGTCTTTTAAATTATTTATTTTGAGACAATTTAATTTTTTGTAAGTATCTGAGGTGTGCAACTAGATGCTTTACTGTTGGCTCATGACTGTAATCCCACATTTGGGGAGGCTGAGGCAGAAGGATAGCGTGAGTTGGGAGTTTGAGACCAGCCTGAGCAACACAGTGAAACCTTGTGAAACATAAAAAAAAGTTTTGGATGTGGTCATGTACGCCTGTAGTCCCAGCTACTTGGAAGGCTGAGACAGGAAGATCACCTGAGCCCAGGAAGCCAAGGCTATGATGAGCCATGATTATGCCACTGCACTCCAGCTAGAGCAACAGAATGAGACCCCAACTCAAGTAAATAAAGTAATAAGCAAATAAATAAAGGATAAACTTCATGAAGGAGGCACTACTTGAGCTAAACTTTGAAAAGGAAGAAAGACTGGAATAACCAAGATTGAAAGAAGAAAGCTTCTTGTAGGCGGAAGACAAGGAGGCAGGCAGAAGCAGAGAGGTAGACAGGGATGAGCACAATCTGAGAACACAAGCACTCCAGTGCACACGTGCCTGAAAGGGTGCCCCACAGGGCACAGTAGGAGATGAGGCTGACATGAAGCCAAGGGAAGTGTGGAATGGCAGTGCAAGGGTTAGACTTCACCCAGTAGGCGAAAGGGAACTACAAAAGATGTTCTAAATTGAGAACCTGACAAACTCAGAATTGTTATGACATTCAAAACAAACTCTGATAAAATAACTGGACTAAACAGAAAGGAATAGTCAAGACAGTCAAAGTTTACTACCTAGGTAACTGGAAGGGGGATAGTACAAATAAGTGGCATAGGAAAAGCTGCAGAAATAGGTTTAATGGCTGGAACAAATGTGCTCAGTTTTTAATAAATTAAGTCTCAGGTGCCAGTGGGACAGCCAGGTGCAGTGACACTGCAGTTATAAGGACACAGCAGAAAAGACGCAACTGGAGAGATAACTGTGGACGTTACCCACATGCAATTTAGAGGGAAAGCAAACCAACTGAAGAGACTGCCTGGTAAAAGGAAGCAAAAGCAACGGAAGAGCAGAGAACCCGGGGAGACTCTCAGGACACAGTTCCAGTCGGGAGAACTAGAGAGGAGGCAAAGAAAGAGTACTCAAAGCACTTTTTCTGCTCCACCACTGCTTTCGGTGGCAGGTTCAGCACTTTTTCTACTTTCCCACATATTTAAAGGTTTTCATAACAAATAAATAGTTGGGGAAATATGCACGCAGTCAGACTCGCTAAACTTTTTTAAAAGGGAAATCTTTCAGCAACTGCACCATTGCTTTACTTCTCAAGTGAAAATCCAACAGACATCACTCTTTCCTGTCCTAATAAATGCTTGAGAAAAAATCCTGCAGCAACAGCAAGCAGGCCTCTGCACTTCTGCTCAGGATGCTCCCCTGCCTGTAACAACCTCTCCCACCCCACCTTTTCCCTAATTAACTCATACTCTTCAAAATTTGGTCCTGTTCTCATGTCTAGCAAGTATTCCTGAAGCCTCCTGAGCTACCATAAAAAGTACTTACATATACCTTGTCCTGTACAACCTCACAACAATATGATTCTTAGAGGAAGAAATGACTGTCCTTGAGATAAAGAGAAAGTAAACCTTTGCTGTGATTCACAGACAGGTAAACAGTGCTGCTATAAACTGAATAAAAGTTTGTAGACTACACACCCTGTGAGTACTCTTGACCCATGCTCTGTAACAAGATGCTCACAGATGCGCTTCAAAGTAGAAATGATGCTATGATTCCTACAAGTCTGAAAAAATGATGTGAGATGTGGTTCATGCACAACCGAAACTTTTCAGAGCTAACATAAAACTAAAAGATGACACCAAACCCTGCTCTGCTAACACACTGAGGGATGATTATTCCTTGGCACAGTAGAGGAAAACCAAACCATGCAGCCAGATATCTGGGCCAGGCATAGTGGCTCATGCCTATAAGCCCAGCACTATGGGAGGATTAGTTGAACCCAAGAGTTCAAGACCAGTCTGGGTAACATAGTGAGATCTCATCTCTACAAAAAAAAAAAAAAAAAAAAAATTTAAACTTAGCTGAGCGTGGCAGTATGTGCCTATAGTCCCAAGTACTTGGGAGGCTGAAATAGAAGGATCACTTGACCCCAGGTCAAAGCTGTGGTAAGCCATATGGTGACACTGCACTCCAGCCTAGATAGCAATGTGAGACTCCCAATTCAAAAAAAAAAAAGCCAGAGATCTTTTCAGCATTAGTCAAGAATGACATCAATATGGCCTCAAGTTCTTATTTCATAAAGTATGCCAAGGTTAGATTAAAACCTTATATGATTATAATTTCTCATTTTAACTTTAGAAACCATGTATACTACAAGCAATCATTACGTATGGAAAGACTACCCATGAGAGTTGTTTCTGGGATACAACAAAATAGAACTATCTATAGTTCCCATTCATATCAACCATAATTTACTGAGAATCTGTGCAGAATGCTGGGGTACGGATGGGGTGAGCGACTGTTCATAAGAGTGGAAAAGCACCCCAGCATTGAAGATGACAACCTAAGTGGAGGGGCATGAGTGGAACATGAGAAATGATTAGGAAAGAGAGTGGATAAGATTAAGTGTGTGGCAGAGACCACTTAAAGAGCAGCTCTTGGAGACATATGCATGTGGGTGAGGAGATGCAGAGATGGAGACCACTCTGGGCAGAAGGATGGCATCCGGCAAAGCAAAGAAACGATCATGGATTTGAGGTCAATGGAGCAGCAACTAGCTCCTGAGTGAGGTGCACACCAGGAGGCAGGGATGAGCCAACACTGGGTGGGAGGAAGCCCAGAAAAAGCCAAGTGGATCACTTGACTTGGCAGGCAAAAAAAAAACTGCTAGTTTCCTGGGCAGAAGAATACAAAAGCCTTTCAGAAATTGAGAAAGGCAGTTTATGTTGAACAGATTACAGTAAGTTCAGGGGCAGGAAAGCCAGACAGGAACTCCCCCACCAGGTCAATCCAGGATAATTAGACACAGATGAAGAGGCAGCAATGACCACATGAAAAAGATGCTTCAAAGGCGCAACCAACAAATACCGTGCAGAAGACACTGAGCTTGCTAAAGCAGCAGCATCACTTCCTTCCTCAAATCAACATCAGGAAAAGACCACCATAATCTATGTATGCTCATTTTCCAAATAAACTTCTAACTTTAATGCAGGCCTCATGAAGCAGACCCCACTCAGACTAACCTTCAAGTTCAGAATATGATCCATTAGGACAAAACATCTTGGCTGCTTCAAAGTCGGGTCAACAGGGCCCCCTCTCTGCTGAGGGTCCCAGTTCAGCATCAGCTGCAGCCAGTTTTCCATGGGTTCTACTATTAAACTAGAAAATGTACAAAAATAGGGTGAAAATTGAATCATTAGGCTCCAATTTTCCTTTCTAGTGTTAAAAAGGTAACTGTATAGGTTGTCCATTTTCTTTTCCAACACTTGTCTGCACCGTTTTATATCTTACTTTCAAATAAGTCATGAAATGAGAGAAGACAAACTTTTTTCTCCATTAAAAAACAACCCAAACCTACGTAAGTTAATTCCAGGCAGCGCCGACAGATAACCCCAATTCCATTCTCCAAAGAACCTACTGACTTCATTATTCCAAGAGTCTTCTTGGCGCCTAAGTCAGTCAGCTATGAGGCAACAATTCTTATTTCCAGTAGGCCTGAGTTGTCCAATATGGAGCCATTTATATTTATTATTTACAAGTGGCTATATATATTGATTATTCATTTAAAACTCAGTTTCTCAGTCACACTAGCCACCATTCATGTGGCCAACAGGAATAAAGGTTTCCATCAGGTCGAGGCGAGAGGATTGCCTGAGTCCAGGGGTTCGAGACCAGCCTGGGCAACTTGGCGAGAACTCATCTCCACAATAAATTTTTTTTTTAAATTAGACAAGTGGGGTGGCATGTGCTTGTGGTTCCAGCTACTTGAAAGGTTGAGGCGGAAGGATCGCATGAGCCCAGTGGGCCGAGGCTGCAGTGACCATGAGTATGCCACTGCACTCTAGCCTGGGTGACAGGGTGAGACTCCTACTTAAAAAAACAAAAAACAAAAAGAGGTTTCCATCATCACAGAAACCTCTACTGGATTATGCTTCTTGAAACAGACAACAACTCTACTATTCTTCCACAACCCTGGAGAAACTGAAGCAAACCTCCTCAACTGAAATACACTTACCTACACAGGCTGTTTGGTTGAGGTAAGTGGCTACTAAACCGAACTTCTCCTGACATCTCTTCACAAGCAAATATACACTTTGGATCCTTCTTCTTAATTTTCTCATGCCTATAAAACAAAAGCTACCTCAGTTGACAACCTGATTCTCATAAACACTCTTTTTCTGAAAACATATTTTTTATTTTAAAATTGTGGGGTACAGTTAAGGGTTAGGTATACAAATATGCATCATTCAGGCACCCTTGTTGATAAGGGGTGTCCCCCCATCCCCTGACAGATATTGACTACCGTTAATCCTACCACCCTTAAACACTCTTAAGATTTCTCCCATTTAATTATATTCAACTGCATGTTTAAAAGACAATTAAACCATTAAAGAAAGAAAAAAGTAATGAAAAACAATCCCCATTCCCATGAAGCACACACAAGCTCTCAGCTGCTTCTTACCAGGTGAACGGTTGCAGATGATGTAAAAAAGGCCTGTACCCAGCAATGCATTCAAACACCATGGTCCCAAAGCTCCAATAGTCAACAGTGGCTGTGTAAGGCTTATTCTCAAAGAGCTCTGGAGCCTTCAAAGAAGAAAACGCTTTAAACACCAACACAATGTGGGAAAGGATACTTTATTTTTGAACTACTACACTCATGACCTTCAAAAGAGAATTTTAAACACCTAAATTCAAAGAAGCAATACAGGTCTCACCAGATACTGCAGTGTTCCCACAAAAGACGTACACAGACTTCCTTGATCAACATCTTTGGCATATCCCAGGTCAATTATTTTATGCATTATCTGAAAAACCGTAAGACAGAGTAAGTATTAAATCGTTGAGAAATTTGATAAGACAACAATGTCTTTTTTTTTTTTTTTTTGAGTTGGAGTCTCACTCTGTTGCCCAGACTGGAGTGCAGTAGCCGCTCCCGGCCACCGCAGGGTTCTGGCGATCCTTCCGCCTCAGCCTTCCAAGTAGCTGAAATTACAGGCATGCGCTACCACGCCCGGCTGACTTTTTGATTTATTGTAGAGCTGAGGTCTCGCTGCCCAGGTGTGTCTCGAACCCGCGGGCTTAGGCAATCCACTCACCTCAGCCTCCCAAAGGCGCGGGATTACAGGCTGAGCCACCAAGCCCGGCTGACAACAATGTCTTTAAAGGGCTGTAGAAATGGTAGTGTTGAGAACCTTGGGCTCTGGAATAACACAAGCATGTGTCAAGCTTCAGCATCACCTCTTCACTAGGCATGTGATATCGATCAAGTTATTTAACCTCTCAGTTTCCTCTGATTACTAACACTCCCTACTTCACAGAATTTTTATTAGGATTCAGTGAAACGGTGAAAGTAAAGAACTTCAGTCAGTGCTTGATATATGGTAAAAATTAAACACAGATTGGCTCTTACTTTCTCTTTTGGTATATCTAGAACAAACTTGATCCATTAAACTGGAAAACAAAGGCAAGGGTGACTTCCAACCTTGAAGCATCCTATCCCCTTTAGAGTAGGTTAACTGTAAACACCTATGTAACATCAAGCATGTCCTAAAGTCTGTGGCTACACAAAAAAGCAGAGATAATTGGTGTCAAGCATATAAAGAAACATCCAAGGTTCCATCAGCTCCAACTGACCAACTACCATCTTCACTAACTAAAGAGTTCGCACACAGTCCAATGCAAGGTGCAGACACTTGTCTCTAAGTCTTTACTGGAATGGAATTTGGATGCCAGAGGTAAGAAAACTGCCAAATTACTGATGAATATGAACATTTTAAGAGGCAATTCACAATTTCTGGATCTTCTCAGGATGACTCATTTAAATGTTAATTAAATAGGAACTTAGGATTTTGGGAAAGGAAAATGAGTTTAAAAATATATACATATTTTCTTTCTTAAAGTAAAGTGTTCCAGGCGCTGTGTGTGTGTGTGTGTGTGTGTTGGATGTGCTTCACAGAGTAACAGTGAGGGTGAACAAGTTACTTCCTCACCCCTGCATCCGTGCTGGACACGGTGCTAGAAACAGACATGAACAAAGCCATGCAGTTCCTCCTCTTCTGAAGCCCCTGCTTAGCAGAGAGGATAAAAAAACTGAGCATAAAGTGACAGTTCAGGGTGCTGAGGGTTAGAACTCAGAGTGGAGTGCTGTAGGTGCACAGCAGACACCAGGGCTCAGTGATGGCCTGCAGAGGGAGACCGCACTGTGCAGGCACAGGCCAGTTCTTCCAATTCACTCACCTTTCCACCGACATCCTGAAGAACTATGTTTTCAGGCTTTAGGTCTCGATGTATGATTTTGTTTTCGTGCAAATATCGAATCCCAGACCCTAAATAAAGTTTAAAATGTATTTTGAGGTAATAGAAAACACTCAGTCAAAATAATTTACCTCACACTTGTACAGATCTGCTTTGATGATCAAATTCACATGGATCATCATAACTATATTACAGCAGTTCATGTTTTCTTCACAGAAAACAGAGTAACAATAAACAAACACTACAGAATTACAATCATGCTCATTATTAGAATTAACATCAAAAAGAAAAAGAAAAAGCAATTGAGAAAAATCCCTTTTACTCTTATAGGCTTCTCCTCCCACCTAAATGACCCTCTTCAAGTGGACTTTGGTCCCCATACCCTAGGAAAAGAAGCAGAACCAAAACATATGGGGAAACAAATTCTTGCTTTTGAGTTTCCTCCAAAGGCCTGGGTACTGATTATTTTAGAGTAAATAACGGTTTTCCCCTAAGAGTTGACTTGAGGCTCTAACCCACAGAGAGTTCTGATGTAAACAAATGACTATGTCAGCTGGAAGGGAGTGAAACTGAGTAAGGTCATGTCACACCATTTTTTTAATCAGCACTGGAACATCTTAAGTTCTTAAAGAAGGACTTCCAGCCAAAAACAAAAAACAACAAAATGTCCTAGTTTTAATTTAGCAACAACAGTAACAGATTTTTGTGATAATTTGTTAGAGAGGTTAAAAATCTCTGTTTTGTACATCGACAATACTCCTTAACTCCCAAGAAGTATACAGAATCTTTTATGGACCAAAGGGGCATGAAATTACAATGGTATTTTAATATTGATTACATACCTATATCACTTAGTAAAGTAAGTATCTGGCTTTCTTTAAGTCCACAACAATTTTCTGGTTTGTTGAGTAGCTAAAGAAAAAAAGAAATCTAAAAATATGTTCTGCACATTGCTGGGCTGCAATAGTGACAGACATTAATTACTATATTCAAATGAGAAAAGAAGTCATGATAAAGAAAGTCCAAGAAGGGAAAAAAGTACCAAATCCATACTGAGGGCATCTAAACTTCAAACACAGCTCATCAAAGAAAAAGGGGCAAAAAGTATTTGAAAATGGAAAAGGCTAACAAATTTCACAGACATATATAAAAATAGCCATATGGGCACATTGAAAAGAAATATGGGGCCAGGCATGGTGGCTCACGCCTGTCATCTCAACAATTTGGGAGGCCAAGGTGGAGGAATGCTTGATCCCAGGAGCTTGAGACCAGCCTGGGCAACATATCAAGATCACATCTCTACAAAAAAATTAAAAAATTAGCTGGATGCGGTAGTGTGCACCTACAGTCCCAGTTGCTTAGGAGGTTGAGGTAGAAGGACTGTCTGAGCCCAGGAGGTCAAGACTGTAGTAAACTGGGATCAAGCTGCTACACTCCAGCCTGGGGAACAGGGTGAGACCCCGACTCCAGAAAAAAAAAAGATAGGAAAGAAAAATTGCAATAGAGAAAACTTGTTATAAGCACCTTAAACACTGATATTTTGATCTAACAGCATCAATATAGGCCCATTATGCAAAGAACCACAAAAATGCATGTTCTAAATTAAGGGTCAACAGACGTTTTCTAGAAAGTAAATGCTTCAGGCTTTGCAAGTCATGTAGTCTCTATCAAAACTACTCAATTCTGCAGCTTTAAGAAAGCAGCCATCGACAGTGTGCAAAGAAATGTGCATGGCTGTGTTCCAATAAAACTTTATTTACAAAGCAGGTAGCAAGCCATAGTTCTCTGATCATTATTCTAAGTCATACTTGATGCAATTCAAACACTGATAAAGTTGCAATTTACTATCTCATCTCACAGCATCCACACTACCTTCCGGAGATCTCCTCCAGAACAGTATTCCATTGCTAGAAGAGGCACATCATGGACCAAAACATTCAGTTCTTCAGGAACGTCGCAGGCCTTTACAACATTGGCATGGTTCAACCTAAGAAGAAGGGAAAACATGATAAGGAAAAAAGTTCCACTGAAAAGGAATTGGATTTGAAATGGTAGTTGACAGAGGGGAATGAGATGGGGAGAAAAATTAATAGTATTTCTAGTATTCTAATTTCTGATCTGTATCACTAAAAATTAGCAATTTTAAAAAAGAAAATAGACATCAACATACCATCACTATCACCACTATGACATTTCTATGTGCCAAGCAGTAAGCACTTTGTATACATCAAGTACTTGTCACAATAAGCCTATTACGGGTAGATTTATAATACATTCACCACGCAGGAGAGAATGGAAGCACAAGGTGGCTAAGGAACAGGACACCCAGTGAGGACTCACAGCCGGCAGGCTAGCTCCAAAGCCCGCATCATACTGCTCTCCCCACACTGACTTACAACGGCACCCTGCGGCAAACACCGACAATTTGGGTATATTTCCTTCCAGTTTTTAATCTGTGCACAAATACAAATTTTCCAATACATATGGAAGCACACCATACATTGTCTTCTGTCAGTGTTTTTTTAAACTTAATGTATCATCCGGTCATCATCATCATATCATCATGCAGTGGCTCCCAAAACTGGAATAGATTCCCATGTCCTAGGGACCTGAAGAAACAGAACCTCAGCAGGCCTGGTGGCGCTCATATGTGGCCCCAGCTACCGAGGAGGCTGAGGGGGGAGGGTCACTCCAGCCCAGGAGTTTGAAGCCAGCCTGGGCAACACAGAGAGACCCTGTCAAGAAAGGGAAGGGGAAGGGGAATGGAAAGTGGAAGAGGGAGGGAAAAAAGAATCTCCATGTATGGTGCCTGAGAATTTACACTGGTGATTCTGCCACATGGCCAAGTTTGAGCATCATTAAAGTGAATGGAGCACAGACACCGGAGTCGAAAGTGTTCATTTCAAATCCGGACTCCCCCAGCCACCATCTCTGTGACTGTGCGGTCAACTTCCTCATCTATGAAACGGGAATAATACCTAAACACAAGATGCCGTGGCAACGGAAGAATGATCTGTAAAGTGCTTAGCACACTAGCTGTGGAAGGTGCATAGTATGTCCCCTTCTCCCTTGCAGAGCTCAACCATCCTCCCTTTGAATGTAGGCTGCATTTAGTGACTATTTACAACACACAAATGTGGCAGAAAGGATGGATTGTGGCTTCCAAGGAAAGATCATAAACAATATGCCAGTTTCTAGCCTGCTCTCCCTCACTCAGGCCATGTGCTCTGAGAAAGCCAGCTGCCATGTCATGAAGACATCCAAGCTTCCCGAGGAAGAGGCCACATGATGAGGGACTCTGCCTGTGGCCAACAACCACACATGGCAGTGGGGCAGGTACTCCAGCCCCAGGCAAGACTCTGGATCACAGTAATGAAGCTCCAAAGACCTGAGAGGAAACCACCTGGATAAGCCACTCCCAAATGCCCCAGCCACAGAAATTGTGAGATACTAAATGTCTGCTGTCGTTGTTTTTGAGTCGGGGTCTCACTGTCACTCAGGCTAGACACAGTCACATGATCATGGCTCGCCACAGTCACGAACTCCTGGGCTCCAGCAATCCTTCTGCCTCAGCTTCCCAAAGTACTGGGATTACAGGTGTGGCCAGATTTTGCTGTTCTAAGTCACCAAATTTTAGAGTAATTTTCTACAAAGCAATAGTTACACTAACAAAAATAGGTGTAAAAGAAAGGAGAGTAGTGATTGTTGTTTAACTAGAAAGTATGAGAGATGGGCACCACTCAAGATCCAGGAGAAACAGACTGCCTTCAGAAAGCTGAGGATAACACCCAGCTGACTTTTTAAAAATGAATTACTTTTTAATTTTAATTGTGGTAAAATACACATAACATGAAATTTACCATCTCAACTATTTTTAAATGTACGGTTTATTGGCATCAAATACTTTCACAATGTGTTGCTACCATCACCACCAGCCATATACAAAATGGTCTTAATTTTGCAAAACTGAAACTCCGTATCTACTAAAGATACTTTACTCCCCTCTCCCCCACCCCCTGCCAAACACCACTCTCCTTACTTTCACTATGAGTCAGACTGCCCTAAGTATCATTTAAGTAGAATCAAATAGTACATGTCTTTTTATAACTGGCTTATTTCATTCAGCATAATGTCCACAAGTTTCATCCATGTTGTGGCATGTGTCAGAATTTGCTTCCTTTTCAAGGCTGCATAATATTCTGTTGGATGCATATACAACATGTAGTTGACATGTTTACCTGTAGGTGGGTACTGGGTAGTTCCCTCCTTCTGGCTATTGCATATAATGTAGCTATGAACATGATATACAAGTATCTCAAGTCCCTCCTTCCAATTCATTTGGTTATATACCCAGAAATAGAATCGCTTTTTTAAACTTAATGTATCATCCGGTCATCATCATCACATCATCATGCAGTGGCTCCCAAAACTGGAATAGATGCCCATGTTCTAGGGACCTGAAGAAACAGAACCTCAGCAGGCATGGTGGTGCTCACATGTGGCCCCAGCTACATGGTAATTCTAATTTTAATTTTTTTTAGGAACTATCACACTGCTTTCCATAATAGGTGCACAATTTTACATTCCCACAAACAGTGCTCAAGTATCCTAGCTGACTTTTTAACCCAAATGTAATCATAATGTGGTTATTATTTGAAATAGAATACATACATTTATTGACAGAAAAAAAATAAAAACTCTCAAAAGCATCCTGAGAAGAGTCGATTCCTGTGATGACATCCAGTTGGGCTGCAGGACTAGGGAAATACAGGTCATCAAGTATACTTACTTCTTCATGATCTGGATTTCATGGCACCACCGTTCTCTGTTTTTGGTACTTAGCTCTAGGCGACAAGACTTAATTGCTATTTTGAGATCAAGTTCCTGCCAAAACAAAAAAAGAAGAAAATAATCAATTAGGTTCTCGTGCAGATTTATTTGCTATTAGTGAAATGTCAGTCTAGGAAAACAAAACTCTTCCTAGCTGTTTTAAGTAAACATACTTATCCACAATTCTCTCAAGCCAACACTTTCCTAAGCCATGAGTCGATTACACCAATGCCGTAAAACTGACCGCCAAACACAACAGCACACAAGGGAAAAAGGACTGAGGGCAACCAGTCCCTTCAAAACACTGTCTCATCGATGATGCTAGAAGAAAAGAAAGATCCTGACTCTCCAGCTAACCCGTCAGGGCTGAGTCAAGACTAACATGGGCCCTAGCCAGTAGAATAGCTAGAATGAAGAGGATAATTCGGGGCTCCCTGGCCTCCAACCAGCAAGAAATGGTTTTAGCATGACCAGACCGAAAACAAACTCCAAAATCAGATCCTAATCTTTACATTTCAAATGACATGAAAAAAGAAAAACCCTAAAAATGATTGAATTTCTGTTTCCGTATCTATAAAATGAACCTAACTGCTCTTGCCCATGACTAGTAATTCAGCCAATTCTGACTGCAATTAGACCCATTCCTGCACTTTACAGGAAAGAACCAGACCCCATCACACTCTGGAAACACTAATAATGCAGCCCAGAAACAGCGGTCAGGGCCAAAAAGTCTACACTAGGCTTCTGCTATTGTTGAGGGGAGTTCACAAGAATTTCTAACATATGCAATCTCTGACACAAACCGGAGGTGTAGAATAGGCGGTGTTTAAATACAGAGAAACGAGCCCAGCGGCTGGGAGGGAAAAAACATGATAGGTGGGGAAGCAAAACAGCTTGAATGGAGTGGTGTGAGGGTTCACACCTTGAGATAAGATCCTCCATGCATGGGGAGAGAAGAAACCAGGACCGACTACAAGCCAGTCTAGCCACGGCTCTCGCTCCCTGCAACCTTTCGTTTGTTATGAGCAGGTTCCCAGCTGTAGCAATGCCCCTGAATGCTTTTACCGCTGTGGTCATGGCCAAAACTGAGACCTAAACTCTCATAGGAATGAGGCAGGAAGTTATCTATTTCAAAGATCCCATCCTGTAAGATCCTTCAACCCCTCAGTTTGTATTTCACCCATTCTGTGAAATCCTACCTTTTCGCAAAGAATATTCTGTGGGAAGTTGATTTATGTTCAGCAAAAAAAAGTTGTGTTTAAAAAAAACTGAAGCCGGGCTCGGTGGCTCAGCCTGTAATCCCGCGCCTTTGGGAGGCTGAGGTGAGTGGATTGCCTGAGCCCGCGGGTTCGCGACAGAGTGAGACTCCAACTCAGAAAAAAGAAAAAAAAAAAAAAATTGAAACATCTGGAGATAGACAACAATGACGGTCATATAACAATGTGAATGTACCTAATGCCACAAAACTATACACTTAAAAATGGTGAGTGTTGACCAGGTGTAGTGGTTCACGCCTGTAATGCCAGCATTTTGGAAGGCCAAGGCAGGATTGCTTGAGCCCAGGAGTTTGCGACCAGCCTAGGCATCATAGCAAGACCTCATCTCTACAAAAAAATTAAAAATTAGCCAGTCATAGTAGAGCACACCTGTAGCCCCAGCAACTCAGGAGGCTGAGGCAGAAGAAGGATCACCTGAGCCCAGGAGGGTGAGGCTGTGGTGAGCTATGATGATGCCACTACACCCCGGACTCCAGTCTGGGCAACAGAGTGAGACACTGACTCAAAAAAAATAAAATTAAATTAAGTGTTTTATTTTTCAATAAGAGTATTGGCAAACACTACGTTGAATGAGCTTATTTACTCTTCAGAGACCTTACTATGCGAATTTGATTATGAATCTCCAGATGAAGATGTTATGTAGTACCTCCCCCGTGTATCCGACCAGTGCCCTTTTCCGAAGATTTCCTGAGACTAGTTCCTCCACATACACTCTGAGAAATGCTGCTCCGCCCCCTAGGCAGGGTTCTCGGTTCCTCTGCCATGCTTCCACACCACTTTGCAAAGACCTTCATGAAACAGGTCCCCACATTGTCTGTCTCGCTCACTGGACTTGAAACTTCCTTGAGGGCAGGGGACACCGCTGCTGCTTTGGGCAACATCAGCACCCGGCACAGCAGTCGGCTAAATAAAGCACCCTGAATCCTTTCCTAGTCCTCACTGTGCTTCGGGAGGTGCAGATGACCTGGCTGGGCCACGGTTTCCACTGGAACACAAGGATCTCGAAGTCAGGCTTGGACAAGAAACGATGCTGGCCGGGCTCGGTGGCTCAGCCTGTAATCCCAGCGCTTTGGGAGGCCAAGATGAGTGGATTGCCTGAGCCCGCGGGTTTGAGACCCACCCAGGCAACTTGGCGAGACCTCACCTCTACAATAAATCAAAAAAATTAGCCGGGTGTGGTAGCACACACCTGTCATTCCGGCTACTTGGAAGGCTGAGGTGGAAGGATCACCAGAGCCAGCAGGTCGAGGCCACTGTAGTCTAGCCTGGGCAACAGAGTGAGACTCCAACTCAAAAAAAAAAAAAAAAAAAGAAACGGTGCTGTTTCCCAGTCTCATGAACGAGTACTCTTTCTCTCCTCTCTACAGGTCCAGCTGTCCAATGTCCCCGTTTTGGGCACAGGAAAGCTGATCAACTGGAAAGCTCCTGAGAGGTGTCTGAGATTCTACAGGGACCCAAACTTCTTCCATTTAAAAAGTGATTAACGCCACAGCGACAAAGTGGAATGGTGCTCCACGGCCTGGGGGAGGAGGATGAGGAGCTGCCAAGTTCTGGAGAGGAATGGTAGGGACAGCCACACAGCAGAGTGGGGGTGACGCTCCTGGACGGTGCAGTTTAAACAGGCTGACCCGAGGAGAGCGAACCCTCTCAACACTCTTCAGTCAGTCACAAACAGGGCTCCTTGTCTCTTTCCCGCCTTCTCATTACTGCACTTGACTAGTCTTGAAAATTACTTATCTTCAAATGGTTAAAATGGTAAATTTACCACAACAAAACAAAAAATGATGGATTTATCTACCCTTGGCAGGGACCGAGAGAAGGACGCCTTGAAAGTGCACCAGCATGGACCCCTTTGCCTGCGACCAGCTGACCAGCAGCCTGGGCTTCCAGCTCCCTCTTTTTTCTTTTGAGTGTGTTATTCTCCTCCAGTGGTGACATTGTTACATTTACACTTGTCTGGCCCTCCAGGACTTCACAGGTCTCAGCCTTCAAGCTCCCTTTTCTCTCCAAGATCTGCCCCTGCACCCCAGCTGGAAACTCATGGCAGGAGCCCGCCTCATGCCATCAGTTCCACGCATCTGCCACTCTAGCTGCCCCCAAACATGCCTGTCCCCCCAGGGGGAGACTCTTACCTCCCCTGTCTCCCACTTCAAATTCTGGGCTCTCTTCCCACACCCATGCTCCCTGAGACAGCAAACGACGGTTTTTCCTCTTGACTCACTCCACTATGCTCAAGCCGCTCCAGGCATTTCAGTACTGTCTTAAGTCCTCATCTGGGCCCATATGTTTTTTCCCATTCAGATTTATCCTCACAAGATCCCTTTCCCGGGGCGCCACTTTCATCTTGACCTTTCCTTTCCTAAGGCCAGTAAGGGTGATGAGGGTTGTAATGCTGGCACCCACAGCAGCAGCAGCAGCAGCAGCAGCAGCACGGGCCCACATCCGGGCTCTCCAGCTCCAGGGGCTGCAGGTGCCAAACTTGCCTTGACATTGTTCCTACTGAACTCCCGGAGGACCATGAGGGAGGCCCGCTGTCACACCTGTGTCACCCATAGCAGAATCAAGGCCGCCCTGCAGGCATAGACAGTCCAGAGCCCATTCACCTGCAAGTCCTTTGGGAAATGGCAAGGCGGAAGACTGGGCGAATGTGCCCTGCCGCTTCTCTACTGGAATGTCAAGACATGCGACCTGCGCCAGCTCATGACAGCGGCCACTCACAGTGCAGCCCTGGGACTGATGGCAGCGGTGTCCACCGACCGGAGCCCCACCTCCCATCTCCTGCCCTTCAAGCCATGATCTGCGCCCGCTGGCCCTCATGCTGTCCCCACCTGGAGCTCCAGAGCCCCTCCATGCTTCCAGAGGCTTCACTCGGGGACCACCACAAAGCCCTGGTCCACTCCAGTCCCTGTTGACGCCACACCACCTCTGGGGAAACACACACACGGGGACGCACACACCCAAGGACGTGTAGGTGGGACACGCACCCCCAGGGCCACACACAGGAGCACACACACCCGAGGACATACACGTGGGTACACTCAGCCCTGGGGACACACACACCCGGGGACGCACACACCCAAGGACGTACAGGTGGGACACGCACCCCCAGGGCCACACACAGGAGCACACACACCCGAGGACATACACGTGGGTACACTCAGCCCTGGGGACACACTCACCGGTACACACACACCCGAGGACCCACATACGGGGACACACACCCCCGAGGACATACAGATGGGACACACTCCCGGGTACACACACCCCCGAGGACACACCCCCCCGGGGACACACGCACTCCCACAGGCAGCCCCCCGGCACGCCGGCCGCCCCAAGGGACGCACACCGAGGCCCCGGGACGCGGCTGCCGCCTGGGGCTCGGTGCCCGGGCTCACGGCCCGGTCTCCCGCGCGCACGCACGCTCGCGGGCCCCCAGGAGCCGCCGCCCGCGGTCGCCGCCGCCCCTCGCCCTGACAGCCCCGACTCCGCGGCCGCCCGAGCCCCGCCGGGCCCGCCGCCTCACCCGGTGCTGGTACAGACAGACGTTCCCGAAGCCGCCGGTGCCCAGTCGCTCGCGCATCTCCCAGGGCCCGCCCGCGCCC